TCCCCGATAGGATGCATACCTAGAATTTGTTTTGTGAAGCACGTCAATTCTCTCCTGGGGAACGCGTTCGTGAGCCTCTTATGATTTTAGGATAGTTCCTATGATGTTCCGATTCAATGCTCACCGATGATCTGACCCATGGGGCAAGTTTATTTTCCTAAGAATCTATTTAAATATTTCGAGAGCATATATTTGAATATTTAGAATGCATATGAATATATATTTACGAAAGGTCGCCTCCGAGGGGATAAATCACCATGTCGAATCTTGCATTTTTGTTCCTGCCTCTCGCGTTCTCTTCTCTTCCCGTTGTCCTACCTTTCGTATCTCCCTCCTCTCAAATTATTTTAAATTGATTCATTTAATTTTATGGACATTTCCATTATTTTTTCGTCCATTGAAAATAAATACCTTCCTTTAGGATGTCACCATGGCAATTCTTTGGACATTTGATATTTCGTTCCGATTCGTAGAAGCCATTATATTTTATTCTCACCTTTAACGACTGGTGGGGAACGGCATTACGTAATTGGTACTACTCCGTATCCGACCCACGGGCCTCTAACGGGGGGCTAGGCTCCAGGATAACATTGAAAATCGCACTTTCTATTATGGCGTCCGTTATCCTCAGAAATTAGTCCATGATATATGCGACGTTGCAACAATTCATCGAAAGCTGGACAATACGCGATACACCGATGCATTGTGCTCCCCCAATCCGCTTGTTTGCATCCAATTGGAAAGGTATTCCGGCATGAATCATAAGAACACATGAACAATCACATGGTATCGCACTCAGGTCGACCTGCCTGTGTTTGTGAATTCCATTGGCCTTAGCATTAAATGGGTCTCCTTTCATGTAGTTGCCGGGGTTCCACACTTGGGAAATGATCCCCATAGTGGTCATTGTCGGACCGCTCTGTTTCATTCCTGCCAAATGCTTTTGGCCGATGATTTTGTGATATCATATCATATGATTCGAACAAAAGAATTTCAACAGAATATTATTGGTGTTGACCATCACCGAAGAATCTGAAGCAGATCGCTCCCGTGCATTGAACCTAATACATTGGCCCTGATCGCCGACCGATTTATCAACAGAGACTTTGGATCATCCATCCATAGGGATTGACAAGCAAAAGCTTGATTTCGGTCGAGGGTACCGCCCTTAAGGTGGCCAAGACCTGTCACGGGTCTAATTGCCCAATACGGGCAAATGAGAGCTTGCTAAATGACGAATAAATAAAATAGATGTTTACAAATCAAATAAACAAATCATTAAAATTATATATATGTTTTTTTATATTTATATTTTTCTTTCACTATAAATATAATCATCATCCAACCATCTAATATTTGTTACCCATATAAAATAATCTTGATATTTATCTTAATTTAACAATCAATGAATAGAATATTACTAAATCCCTTAAAATCAATCATTTTCCAACCTAATAATATTAATCTATAATATAAAATTCCAAATCTCATAAATATAATAGAATATATATTCATATATATTATTGATTGTTTAATGATAACTATATTTTATTTATAATATTTTAAAATATACGATTTAATGTATCTTAAATCCAATAATTTATATGTCGATTCAAAATACATTATTAGGGGAATCCGTGAAAATGTAATAGAACCATAGACAATTGCAATGGCACATGGTGCAAGAACCAATCAATGGCATATATTAATTCAAGAAAGATTTCCCCATTTAAAGGATCCATAGATAAACTAAATCCCTAAATTGCATACAAATTGCTTCAAAACAAACGATTATTCAAATATGTATTTTCCTCCTAATAAGAATTAATTCCTAATAAGAATTAAAAAAATATAAATATATAATAAAATCACGTCTATAAATAATTCCAATATGAATCAATAATATATGATTACTATAAAGAAACCTCCATATCTAAAAAACCATAAATAGAATAATCCCTAAATTACATACAAATTGACTTTAAACACTACAACACAAAATATTGAACGAAAATTACAAAATCACCTTTATATATAATTCCAGATTTCACATATTCTAATAAGATTCTTTTAATATTCTTTGATATATACAACAGAAAAATATTTAAAGACAATTGCAAAACCACCTTTATATACAATTCCGAATTATAAGCTTGCTGGTCGACTTAACCAATTTCTATGACCTTGTTGATCATGACTTGTTGGCGGCTGACGCCTTGGCGCTTGGTTTCCCCCATTTGATCTTGTTCATGTGAGACCTCGGATCCTGATTGCTGAGGATTTGCCTAGTGACCCCATCAATCCTGTGAAAGATATTTTGGCCGGTTGCCCCTTTGGTGTTGTTCTTGCCAAGATTGTGCTGTGGATTCTCATGTCTCATGGGAACCGAATTTGTAAGCCTCAGGATCTCACCACTTGGGTTGATGATATCGACGTTGATGGGAGGGGATTCTCGTCTGGGCAAGTTGCTCAACAAGCTGTGAACGCTTTTCTTGAATTGCGTGAAGGTCTTGTGGCGCGAGGGATGGAAATCAATATCACTAAATCTGGTTTTTTAGTCGGCGATGCGGCGACTGGGAAGGCGTTGAAATGCCTGCTTGCTTAATATCAGGATTGCCCCCAATTAAAGGTTATTATTAAAGATCTAGGGATTGACAATTCCTTGGCTCGCAAGCGTAGGCTTGAGGTGCATCACAATCGGCTTAAAAGAGGTAGAGCTAGGCTTGCCAAGGTGAAGCACCTGCCTGTCAAAAATAGAAAGAAATTTGTCAATTTGTCTGCCAATTCTATTGCCATGTGGGGTCATATGGCGCTTGGAGTGCCCCCCAACAAGCTCCGCGCGTGGCGCTTAAATGTGGCCCGAACAAACAAGTGGGTTCAAGGCCGGGATTCCCTCGAAATTGCCATGCAAATCCATGCTGAAACAACCGATTACCCCTATTATCGCTTGCGTATGGAGCAATTGCGATCGTGGTTCCAGTTGGTGAGGTGTTGTGGCACTGTGATTTGTTCAGCCCTTTCACGTGCCTGGGAACAGAATTGGTCTAAGATCCTTGAAATCAAGTATCGTTGGCAAATTGTCAAAGGTCCTTTAGCGGCCACGCAGGCTGTGCTCATGGACCTTGGTTGGGATGCTTCCAAGCTTGATCGTTGGTTTGATGATCTTGATGCTCCATGGCAACTCGATTTTGGCAGAGAGTTCACTTGTCTTGAAATTGGATTATTGGCATCCCTGCGGCGCGGCCAAAATCAGATTGTGTCACATCAATTCTTTGGCGAAGGTTTAGAATCTGGTCTTGATGATTTTCTTCATAAAAAACTATTTATTGCTTCTCCTGTGAAAGATATTGATATGTTGCAGATATGGTGGCAGGATGCATTGCAACACAACTTAAACTCTCAGAAAAAGACTTGTTTGCATTGCAATGTTGAACAAACCTTACACCACATGCTCTATGAGAGCGCTGCTTGCATTGAGCATTGTGGCCCTGTTCCGGAGGCCTGGATTGGATTGTGTTGTCGCCTTGAGAGCCAACACTTTTGGTTAAGGGGGTTGGTGCCCCGTGCTTGGACCACTGCTAAGCCAATCCCTTCTGAAGAAGTTGTTCGTGCCGGGTATTTTCTTGACCCTGCTGCTTTTGAGGGACAAGAAATTTTCTTTGCCACTGATGGCAACGGTGGCCCTTTTACCAAAGACCCCAGGCTCAGAAAGTGTGCGTGGTCGGTTGTTGCTGTTTCATGTGTTGATGATGAATTTGTCCTTATTGTTAGTATCACTGGGCGCATTTGTGATGATGGAAACCCCAATATTGTTGCTCCCGCTGAGCTGAGCGCTTTTCTGGAGTTGCTTCGTTTCTTGCTAGATACCTTTGAAGGGTTGGTTGTTATCGATATTTCTTTCGTGGTCAAAGTATACCTTAAATTAAAGCGCAAATCCCACAAAATCAGCAATCCGCATGGTGACTTAAGGGCAGGTATTACTGCCCACTTGAGCAAGAGAATGCTTCTCACCAAGGTTAAATCTCATCTTACGCTTGCTAAGCATCTTTCTAAAGGGGATGAAGTTTGATCTTAGCGTGTTAATAAATTTACGGATGAGTTGGCTACAATCACCACTCAATCTGTGGCGCCCTATGCCAAAGCTGAAGCTACTGGCTAGATTCTTGATCGAATCAACAGACTGACAATTTAGATATTGCCATGTTTCCACGTCGAAATATATCAAAAAAGAA